GGTGAGTGAGCCGAGGAGGAGGCCTGGCGACCGCGGCCGAAGAGAGGCGCGTCCCCGCCGCTGCCTGGCACCGCCGCCTGCTTGGCCAGCCCAGCTGCTCGCTCCTACCCCCCTGCCTCCTCCTCCAAGATCCGTCAGCTTTGGTTTTGTTTATTTAATTTTTAGACTAGAAAGGCCATGAGTAGCTTCTCCTTTTTCGTCACGGGGCTATTTGTAATTTATGCGATATTTAGTGTATTTAGCTCACAAGTATAAGGGACTGGGGTGTCCCGTCCGTGGCCTAGAGCTGCACTGGCTCTGTCGGCAGCAGGGTTGGCTGCCCCCGGGAATGACTGCCCCAGCTTTAAAGATCCTGTTTTTGCAAAAAGCTGCGATGAGGAACTCAGGCAAGGATTTATTTTATTTTCAAAAATTTAAGTTCATAGTTTTGTTGTAATGATGTAAAACTGTTTGCACCTCTGGAGCTGCCTTAGCTCCTGAAGAAAGCCTGGTGCTGCTGAGGAAAGCAGAAGAGTGCGCGTTGTCGCATTTGACTGAAGCAAGCAGCTACTGCTTTGGCTATGCTGAGGAAATGAGCCTCTTCAGGAGAAGGACTACGCTTGCGTGTGTACTTTTGTGTGGGCTTGCCCTTTGTAAAGAGAGGCTTTATAGATTAACTGCTATCTAACACACTCCTGAAGTTTTGAGAGCCTGTTGTGTAATTCCCATCAGTTGAATTGGTATCAGGTGATGCCTGAAGGAGCCAGTCTTGCAGTCACGAGGCACTTGGGTTTTCCAGCAAGTTCAGTAGTGCAAGGCTGAGTCTCAGAATGGTCAGATTTGAAGTACAAGCCTGTCAGTGTGAGACGCTTAGAAATGTGGTATTTTAATGCTTCTTAACTTGTTTGCTACCATCTTGTCACATGCAAAGTGCAGTGAGAGGGGAAATTGAAAATTTAGAGTGTGTCATTTAGAAACAGGACGTAAATGTGTGGCTGGCATAACTCTTTGTTTTCTAACTGTATGCTGTTTTTCCAGACACACTCTTTTTTTTCTTTAATTTTCTTTTGCCTGAACAAAATGAAGGGAGACATGCTGAAGTGCCCAGCAAGCTTGGAGAAGAAGTCCATGGGGAAAATATGTGGTGTCTCAGTAAGGCTTCTGGCCTTACTATGGCTCAGGAAGTCCCATGTCCTTGAGTCATCTCATAGCTGGGGTGTTTGTGCCATTTGGTAGCCCTGGGCAACTGAATGTGTTAGACTCTTAGTTTGTTCTCTGAGCGAGATGTGCACACTGATCTGTCTTGGTAGCAGGAATATAGGAACCTTGTTTTAAGTGAAATACGATGAGTGAATTGGAAAGCAATTAGGAAAGGAAGACATCTCGGAAGGTTTTTTTTTGCTGTTTCTATGTAGTGTGATATGTAAGCGGATTCGTTCTTCAGTTTTTGAGGTTTAATAGGAATGATGAATGGAAATGGTGATGGTAGGTTCTTAGGCCTCTTTATCTAAATTAGTGTAGAGGAATAGAATATTTCTTTCCAATATTGACAGTACTCTAGAGTAAGAATAGCTCCATCTGGGGAGCTATTACTAGAGAATAGTTTCCCAGAGCAAACTGGTCAATCCCTGTGTAGACAAATTGTTGGGAGAACGTTTTTGAGGCAAATGTCAAACCATCCTCTACCCAGCATCTACATATCTGATTTTGTGTTTGTCACCCTTCGTGATCTGTATCATTTCCACTCCTTAGCTATCAACATCATGTACAACATGACTTGCATTCGCCAGTCTTTAAGTCCTGTTTCTGCAGACGGGCACCTCAGCAGCCTTACAGACTTTGTGTGCTTGGAGTGTTGCAGCGTCTGGATGACAGAATCTGCCTTCAGGGATGGCTGCACACTTGAGCTTTACCACTCAGGCCCTTAGGAAGCCACGAGACAGCTACTCCAACCATGAAGCTGTGCTTCTCTTTCTCAACACAGGCGCTTTGATTACCGTCCAAAACCTGATCCTTACTGCCAAGCTCGTTACACCTTCTGTCCCACTGGCTCTGCCATTCCGGTTATGAAAGACAAGGATGTCATTGAAGTGTATCGATTACAGGCTCCAGTGTGGGAATTCAAATACGGGGACCTTTTAGGACATTTCGTAAGTTAATGTTTTTGTTTAACTCTTCAGCTGAGTTCAACAGCAGGTGTCAAGAATGTGAACTGTAGAGTTGGGATATGCTTGTATGGAAGAATATTGGAGCACATGAGCTGGACTGTCTATAGGAGAGATACCCAAAAAGCAGTAAGTTTCAAACAAAAATTACAGAATTCAGGTCAGCTAAAGCAAGGAGCATGACCAGCACTTTCGATGTGTTTGAATGTGTTTCCCCCACAGAGCTGTGTATAGGGAGTGTTTTGTATACACACACTGTTACATTTTGGGTGTCTTTTTTTTTCTGCACTAGCAGAAAATGCATCAAGAAAGTACATGTATTTGTCCCCGTATGTCAGCTGAAATGCTTGATTAGTGTATTATCTTTTCTCTTGTTAAAAACTTAAATATTTGCCTGACCATGGGTATCTGTGAGGAGTGGACAGCCAGCTGGTCAGAATGGTGGATCATGGGGAGTTGGTTGCTTTTATGGGTCTTTCTTGAATATTATGATCAGTACTGAATTAGTCTCCATTCACGGAGACATGCAAATATGAAAGAATCTCAGCTTTAGTGATATTTATAGCTCTAGCAGCAGCATAATTAAGCTTCAAAGCATGATCCCTAATGCATAAGTACTAGTGAACGTGAAATAGCAACATCAAAACCAAGCACACATAGCAAAAAATGGAAATAGCTTCAAATATCATTATCCTAATTGTTAAACTAGGGTTGAATTTATGTATTTACTATACAGCTTTTAAAATAAATATTTATTTCATTCCTTTTGTGACTTTCATTACTAAGATCTGGTTTTGGTTCTGCTCTTTATTTCTTTTTATATACCCCTGTGAGGTTAAGGACTCAAAAGTAAGCTTGAGTTCTGATGAGCTCCCACTGAGTATCTGCCTCCAAACAGCAGAGTTTATAATGGGTGGGTAGACAAGCACTGGGGCAGTGTGACTCTCTGATAAAAGTATGCGTGATACAACCTAGTATGTTGTGCATCAATGCTCCTGAATCCAAAATGTTATAGGATCCTCTGTCTCCTCACTCTGTTACACAACAGCTACCTAGTGCATTATCTCCTGTACAGGTCAGGCTGAAGTCAGTTCTGTGTTTTGGCTTTTAGAGCTTTTCTTTTGCTTTTCCAGAAAATTATGCATGATGCTGTGGGTTTCAAGAGCTCCCTAACGGGCAAAAACTACACAATGGAGTGGTATGAGCTCTTCCAGCTTGGGAACTGCACGTTTCCCCATCTCAGGCCTGGCATGGACGCACCCTTCTGGTGTAACCAGGGAGCTGCCTGCTTTTATGAAGGAATAGATGATGCACACTGGAAGGAAAACGGCACTTTAGTTCTCGTGACCACAATATCAGGTGCGTTTCAGATGCTTTGGGTGCTAGTATCGTAAAATACAGTCAGCCTTGTCTTCATGTAAAACAGTGTCTTTTAATTCCTTCTGTAGGTTATTCGCAATGTTAGTCACTGATGCTAATTTCAAACTTAAATACTTTCTCTGCGCATTCTTTAACGCAGAAAGTGGGATGAGGCTGTGGCCTTTTGAACAGCGCATGCTGAAGAGTTGTTAAATTGGAGCCGTTTGGCGTTGCTGTACGAAAACACTTGAGTCTCTGGAGTGTAAAAATAGCAAAACAGCTTATACAGAACCATTATGGACTCGTTTCCATAAGGCTTCGCTGAAACAAAGCCTTCTATTGTGAGGTGGCAGATGACTGCTGAGATGGAAAATCTGGTGAAAATGCATACATTATTGAGCAAACAAACAAGGCATATTTAGAAAAGAAATAAAATTTAGAAATAGTCACAAAAATATAAAAAGTACTAATCTCTATTTCTGTCTCCCCCATTATGTGTCATAAAAACTGCAGATGTCCCCAGTAATAGGTCTCTATGATGTATCATAGGACAAAACCAGGATTTACACCTCTAAATATGTGGATGATCACCGGAATAGCTTTCTGGTGCGTCCTGAACACCAAAACTCTAAAATAAAAAGGTCTTTTAAGTAAATCTGGTTGATTACTGTAGTAATACCACGAATGACTTATGAAAAACTCCCCTGAGGACTTGGAGAGTTGCATTTTGTGTGACCAAAGCCATTTACTTTCCAAAGTTAGCGTACTGTAAACGGGAGAGTCACATCACAGCCAGTGTGATGTGGTGCTTTATGTTTGCCTGCTGCCACCTTGAGCAGCTTTTCCGGACTTGATCTCTAGATAACTTGTCCAGTGCTGCTGAGAAATTCTAGGCTCTTCTTCAAGCAGTGAAGTGAGCAGAGCTGCTTTCTCGTGAGTTTGTAGCTCATGACTGAAGTCTTTGATGCCTGATATGGTTGGATGCCTTTGTATGAACACCAAGCTAAATATTTTCATACAGAGGTGGAAATTGTAATGCTTCCTGCCTGCGTGGATTGTTTGATGCCTGAGAAGGGTGAGGCCACGCTGGTGCCTTGTGGAGGCATTGGTATGGTCTGCCTTGTCTCTCTTGCTTCCTGTTTCTGTGGAACTTTGAGGAAGGTAGCACCTCAGAGTTTTGAATTGTCTGAATTCGACTGGGAATCTGAAAGTTACTGTGGAAGAGGGTGAATGAATGCAAGCACAGATGGACAGCATCGTGAGCTGAACTTGCTTCCTTCAGAGGGTAGGCAAAAAGCATCCCATCCTGTGGGAGGGGGCTTCAGCGTGTGGAACAGCTGGACCCCCTTTGGCCTGGCGAGATCCTATGGAGCTGTTTGTCAGCAGGGTCAGAGACCACATTGAAACAATGATTTTACAGTTTTTCTCATTTTCTTCTAAAGCTCTTTGGCCAGGTTAATGTTACTTAGGGCTATGTTTATTTTGTGGAAATGGGGCAGGAATATCCAAAGTGTGAATTTTTTCTTTTTTTTTTTTTTTTTTACTGTCTAAGCATCTTCCAACAGATTATCGTGGAACATGCCTTAACCTGTAATATTTTTATTTAATTTAAGATGTTAAGGCCAGAACTTCATACTGAATCCATCTTGGTCTTGTTAGGAGAGACAGATCCTTTTCAGTAACCTGACTTGCAGGGTACACAGTAGGAAGCTAATCTGGGATGAATTAGAGAAGATAAAGGGGAGCTTCAAGCACATCTACAGTCTGTAGTAAGTACAGTTCTTGATACAGATTTAATGACTTGCTGTTTTATTAAACTAAGTCATGGCCAATTAAAAAAGCAAGTATCCAACAGTTTCACAAAACAGAATGATTGTTATGGTCTCTCTGAAGCCCAAAATATGTGTGGATGGAAGAACAGTTGTAATGGGGTAGCCTGGGAGGTGAATGTATAGAGCGTTAGTTACTCTGAGACAGTATCTTGCACACATGCCTTACCTTAGAGTAAGTGCGAGATGTGTTTACTCTCTGATGAAGAGTAGACCTAGCAACCTGACCGTTGCAGCTTGTTTTGGAGGGAGCTGCATGGCAGGCAGTGCTCTTCGTTGGTCTTGATGAGTGCAGCGTTGCGGTGAATTCAGCCGGCTGGTGGTTGATCTGTCTGATGTCTGCTACCCCTGAACCTGGGGCTAACTGCTGCCAGGCTTGGCTTGCACCAGTCTTGCCTGTCCTTCAGCAGCTTCCAAGTGCAGTTACTGTACCCACAGCAGTGACACCTGCAGCTAAGGCGAGATCACAGCTTGGAACGCTGTCACCGTTGCAAGGTGCCATCTGACTGTGCCTTCTGGCGTATCGCACAAAAAGAATCTGCAGAATTTGGCCGTGCTGTGAGTGTGAGGTGCTAGACGGATCTGAGTTGTCGATGGTTGTACCCTGTGCCATTGCTGAGGAGAGAAAGGGCTAGGCTGAGGTGCAGTGCTAGGACTACAGGAAAAACAAAAGAAGGAGGATTAGCCCTGTAGTTCAGCTCTGTTTTTGGGATGCATCACTCATAGGGAGCTACCAGCAGGATGAGTGGAATTAGAGATATTCCTTAGTCCAGTTGTGAAATCACCAAAACACTCTAAACTTCTGTTCTAACTAAAAAAAAAATCCACAAGGTCTTTTAAGTTTCCTGGTCATCACATCCTACTCGTATCGTTTGGCTTAGTTCAGCTTTACTGGCTGAGGAGCTGCTAAAACAGCCGGGTGTCTTGGTCGGAGGTTACTTAGGCTTCTTTTGCAGAGTGAGAGGAAAACTTCTGCCTGGAATCTCTGAATTCAGTTAAAACTTGAGGAAGTGCAGAAGCACGTGTTGCTCTGGTGAGCACTCTGCGAGCATCTCTTATAGACTGCACTGCCTGCCCTGTGTAGCTACATAAATAAATCAAAATGAGAAGTGTTCATGGTTCTTCGGTGTTTGGATGTTCTGGATGTTCTGGTATCATAGCAGGAAATGGGGGAGAAAAGGGAATTACTGTTTAAATAAATGTAAATATAGTTCATTTTGTGGGGTATCATTCTCCCTCCAACCTAAGCCTTGTGTCTTTGTATGGTTAGGTAATGGTGTAGGTGAACTTTTGCAGGGAAGAGAAGAGAACCTTGAAATAGGTGAAAAACATTTTGAGTCATGTATTCGTTACCTTGTCTCTGTAACAGTTATTTTTATCTCTTGCAGGATCCATGTTTAACGAAATGGCAAAATGGGTAAAATACGACAACGAGACCGGCATTTACTATGAGACCTGGACAGTTCAAGCAAGCCCTGACAAACCATCAGTAGTGTGGTTTGACTCTTATGAATGCTCTAAATTTATACTGAGAACGTACCAGAAGCTGGCTGACTTAGGAGCCGTGTTTAAGAAGATACAAACAAACTATACCAGCATAATTTTATTCAGTGGAGAACCTGTTTATTTGGGAAATGAAACATCTATTTTTGGACCTCTGGGGAACAAGACATTGGCAGCAGCTATCAGAGACTTCTACTATCCGTTCAAACCTCATCGGACAGTCAGAGAGTTTTTTGTGGATCTTTTAAAAATAATCGATCGTGTCATCGTGAATCGTCAGTTTTACCTCTTCTACAACTTGGAATACTGGTTTTTACCTATGAAGTTCCCTTATCTTAAAATAATTTACGAAGAGGTCCCTTTACCTGTTGGAAGCAAAACATCCTTTGATGTATAATTGCTTACTGAAGGACCGAACTTGCCCTTATGCTAGGATATCCTTAAGGATTTTGGGGCACTACCATGATGGCATTAAAGTGTTTTATGTCTTGCTGCTAACTGTGAAAGTTGTGTTGGGAAGACTTTGCTAGACCACATGAAAGACTGTGCCTTTTTTTCTTCATACCTGCATAATACGTTCATGAACGCTTCAGCATCTCTGACTTGGCCAGCTTCTGTGTAGCCACGGACGCCTGGTGCCTGCAAGTGTGCTGGCGTGGTTCCTCTTGGCTGAACTCTGCAGTGCCAGAGGGTGAGCGGGAGGCAGCCCTCCTGCTCCAGTCTGAGGCGCTCTCCACATACAAGGCCATGTGGCCACCAACAGAGATGGGACTTAACCATTACGAGGACCTTCTGGTCTGACCAATTTGGCTAATCTGTGTGTTGGAGCTAACAAACCTGAGTGCCTTGATGTGCCAAATTTCCTCAACATGGCGTTTATTTCTTTGGTTTGTACAACTGGGACCTGTGAACTGTTTTCTGGTTCATGAAGGAGGTGTTCAGCAGGGTGGGAAGGGGCAGTGAATGTATTAGAAGATGTCATGGGTGGTATCTTGTCACCACTTTGCTTCCTTCCTGTAAACACAATACAGATGGCTCTTTCTAAGATCTGTGTGTGAGTTTTCTAGCACAGATGGAAGGCAAACAGCCAGGTCTGATGACAGCTTTGGTGCATAACTGCAGCGTTTCAGCAGTGCCCTGTCTTATGGTGTACTTGAGGCTTCGCCTAGGTCAGTTTCATAGAAGTCAGGTTTATATTCCTTTTCCTCTTTTATTTTTTTTATCCAGTTGCAGAATGAGTAGTGCTTCTGCAGTGGCTGTTACTGCATCGTGGCTAAGTGGTAATGCAGGAAGCCAACTCTGCAGTTTCGTTTGGCTTGAGCCAAGTTAATAGCCTGCTACAGCCCAGAAGGGGAGTATGCAGTGCAAGTACACACTGATTTGATTATAATCATATGAATGGCAGAAAATTAACCTTGTATTAAAAAGTGACTAAAATTAATTACTTGAGTTGTATTATCATGTAATGGGATGAGCATGAGCGCTAGTGTGAGAGGAGTGAGGTGCTGAGAGCACCTCTGTTCTGCAGGGAAAGCTGCTAATTGGTTCCACTGCTACGTGAAAATTCATCTTCTACCTCAACTTGAAAGACTTCTTGCAGCCAAGTCACACGCCTGTACTTTAACTAGCAGAGCTTCAGATTTCCCACCGGGAAGGTAATCCAGGAGGCACTAGGGAAGATAATGTGGAGCAATGAGCCTGTCTACAGAAGGTGCATTCTTGTTGATGCATGTTTTTATGGCTTTAAAACCCTCAACACTGTTGAGTCCACATTTATCCTGTGTTCCTTCCCTGCACACTATACTGCTTTGTCATCAAATGGGATCCAGGGAGCCCAGACACCAAAGTCGTCGTTTTTCCCTGATAATTGGGTTGTGTAGAGGAGCCCTGCAGAACTGAAAATGCCAAATCTTGAGATACACAAGTCATGGTGGCACATCAAAGCTGTTTTGTGCAGCTTCTAACAAAAAAGACGAGTGTTTGTGGATGAGTAAAATCAACAACTTGGCATAGCTGACTGGTTAGAGATAAAACCTTCCCGATTAGTGAAGAATTTGACCAGAACCGATGGGTGTCTGTATGGCAGAAGTCATCGCTTTTAATGGCTGGGGTCAAATGTAACTTCATGGTTCTGTCAGTACAGGTTCATAATATCCTGGGCTTTCTGAATCTAAGTAAGAGCCCTTCTCACTTTTCCAGTTTAATTTGCACAATCCACTTAATTTAGCATGTTTTACTCTAACCCTAACACTTTGGATGGTACAGGGAGTTGTTTCAAAGAAAAAGAGTTACATCCTAGCATGTATTAATTGCAAATTAGAAGACAGTAAATTTCAGGCAACAAAAAAAAAAAAGATGAGGTGAAGACAACTGAACAGTTATTTGTCAAGGATGCTGCATCCCTTGCAGTCAGAAGCAGAAGGAAGCAACTGTGGAAGACAGAATCTGTGTATATTCAGCAGTAGGTCATACTGGTGATCATTGAACATTCCTTTATGCAGCCACGTGTGTACGCAAGGCCGTGGCTCACTTTGGAAGGTAGAGGAACTCTGTCCTCAGTTTTAAGGTACTAATTACCAATGCAGTAGTTGTCCTTTTTTAACACACGGGAGTTCCTTCCGAGGCTGATATTTATTCCTTCCACAGGCATAATCTTTGGAGAGAGGGTGCTCTCCTCAATTTGGGAGTTGTAAGGTTCTGAACAAAAAGCCAGCTGTTCAGACTGAACACACAGCCAGTAAATAAACTCTACCAGTGCAAAGTACAACTCCAGAAGAGGTGTGGTTGTTGACATTGAGTAATTACCACACTGAAAATAGTTTTGCCAGCACTGAGACTGACGCTAGCGAGTGCAGTGCTCTCTTGCAGGCAGAATCCAGAATTCCTGAGTTAGGCCTATGGTGTCAGATCCAAAATAATAGTGAGGTGATGCGTAGGCTACTTCTGGGAGGTTTAGACAAGGCTAGAATAGATCCATGAAGATGACACTTTTGTCACTTAAAAAGCAAGGATTTGTGACATCTAACAGCTCCTGTACACCTGAAGAACTGCTGTTCGTGCCTGAAAACCACTCGTTCAGCTCAGACAGTTGAGGTGGACGTCTTCCTGCTG